GCGTCGACGTGCTCGCGTGCCGATTGCTTTCTCGCGATCGTTATCGCGGCTAACCGTCTGGTTTCTCGACTTTCCGCGCTCGTCGCGTTATTACCCGTGCCGGTAACAGGCGGTCTTTCCTCCATCCTCTGTTCCGTCCGAGTTTAATCACCGAATCGCACCGACGACGATCGCGAGCAACCAATTCGTACGCGATACCGCGCGCGCGCGCGTGCGAGCACACACACACGCGCGAGCGCTTCTGGATATTTCCAGGTCGCGTTTACCATCAGCAAAATTACTCTCACGGTACGATGGCTCGCGACTTCGTTACAGACTGTCGCTCGCAGCGCTCGCCATGCAAATTCGTTCACCGACAGCCGTTCGATAATTGCCTGCGATTTGTCATTGGATAATTCCTGCCCACGAATCGACAATGGTAAAACGCGGTAGCGGGCGAGCGACCGTTTAAAGAATCGATTTGGAAAAGATAGCCGTCGATCGGTCGACCCTGTTGTACCCTGCCAATCGTCCAAGTTAAAACGCTTCGAGAATTGCTATCGCTTTAAGCTACTAACAGAACACACCCACGAGAGCGAGCATGTTTCTCACCGACATGAGTTATTCATGGCGTATATAGTTCTCCACTCTGCCAGTTACACGCATTCTAACGCCACGCATGCACGCGCCTATCTCTCTCCCTCTCTCTTCCTCCGCTCTCCTTCCAATCTCTTTCCACCTCTTCTTTTTCGTCATCTTCATCTTTTTCCCTCGTCTTGCTACTTTCCAGCCCACGCATTGTAATCTCGTTGATGCGCGCTACAGAGGGAAAAAAAAAAGGACGCGGAGGAGGAATGTGTCGCGCGCGGCATGTGGCCGCATTATGTACGCTTAGCGTGCGCGCGATCGGAACTTGCGAAGCGCGAGCAAGAAGTCCTTCCTATAAAGCGCCTACAGGCTTTTCGGCGATTCCTATCTGCTTTAATTTGAATAATCGTTGCTCGTTGCGTTCCATCGTTTCTCCTTCGACTCCGCTCGCTCGCTTTCCGCCCGCAATCCTATCTCTCGCGGCTTTGCGTCTCTTCCGCGGCGGCAGACGCTCGCTCGAGTATGCGCTCGAGTACGCTGCTGCTGCTGCTGCTACTACGGTACGTTTGTCGTCACGAGGGTTCGCTCGTTTCCAAGCAAAGTGGCCGAAAAGCCGACCGCGTATACACTCGCGCGCAGACAGTTTACGTTTTCCACGCCGGCGGATTCGATTGCCTTCTCGAAAAGGAAAAGCTGGCGCCGCGACGCTCTCGACGGCCGACCGGGTCCTCGAGATCGGTCTCTTTTCCTCTCCCCCTCTGGCCTCGCGCTCTCTCGCTTTTTCTTCGGTAACCGTAACCCGGGTGTCCCTTAGCAGAGACGCTTTCACCGTTTACCATTGCTCCTCCTCTCTGCTCTTCCCTCGACATCGTCTCCTCGTTATCGCAGCCACGAACAGCAATTTCGTTGTTATTATTAGGAACGCCCGGAAGGGCGAGGGAAAGAAACCGTGTGTTTACCCTCTCCAGAAGCCACTCGAGAAGCCGAGAAGCTCGTGCCATGAGAGATTTTAGTTTATCCTCGGTTCGCGATATCGCTCAGCTCTCTGTTCTCCGTGTAATCCCTACAATTTCAACGAACGTCCTTGTCGCTCTCTATTTCCACTGCCTCCGTTCGAAGAGGTCGCGTCTGGAAAAATACCTAGCAACCCTCTCGAAATCGAATCCGTATTTCGGATTCAAACTCTCGCCCCATCGCGGCGAGATAAGGAATTTCGCGTGATTCTCGAACACGCGGTTGACGCGCGCGGTTCCGATAACGACGACGACGACGACGACGACGAGGATATCGCGCTCGGCGGATTCGCCGCATTCGTCGGAGAATCAGTTCCGTGCCACCGAATTCGAGCGTACGGCGTGGGTGGCCTGCCACCTCTACCGTCTACCTTCCTACCACCAACGGTAACCACCAACGGCTAGCGACGTAGCTCGCGCAGCCTCTCC